GCCTCAATAATTACCTATACTATTTTAGGGGATTCCTTATTATAGTTATAGCATAATATATATATATATATATACACACCACAAAACCCTATTCTAATTATTAAGGCCCCTACATTGCAGCATTCTTAACACGCGCTGCTATGGCAGAACAGGCTCCGCTTCAAGATACTTCAGATGTAAAGTCAAGTTACAGTGTGGCATGGACCCCTAGGGTAACAGGCTGAGGGTTTGAGGCTGCTGGATTCAGGTTGTTGCATTTTGTTTAGATTCGGGCTCGGAGCTTGACGCTATGGCACCTAGAGGTGTCCAAGTACCCAACAACTGAAGGTAGGGCTGGGAGTTTAGGGTTTGGGGTTGCTACAACAGCAGCAAACCCCGGGCTATGCAGATTCTCATCTTCATTTTACTTCGAAGCAGGTATCGAGAATTCATATACCATTCAATTAAATCAGAACACTATGCAACATGTAACCCGGAGGCACAACATGACATAAACCACAGTGTCCTAAAGCCTACAAGCCCAGGCTCTATAAACCGCAGAGAACTTCTAACCCGCAGATAACTCTTGATAACCCCAAGCCTTAATGTATATAGCCTGCCGATCTATCAGCCTTCGTTGTTTAAGGGCCCGAACAGCACACTCTCTCCCGTACCGGATGAGAGGGCACTAATCGCAGGTTTACACTATGAATCCGCAGTTGAATCTTGAACCTTGGAGAAAAGGATTTGGGAACTACCCTTCAAATTGTCTACACTTGTTTCACCCTTGCGCCCTAAAGCCCGTAACTCTTGCTGCAGCCATCTTTGGGGCCCTAAACCCCCAACCCGAAATCCTAATGTTGGGCCTGCCTTCTAAACCCTAAACCCTAAACCCGAAATTCTAATGTTGGGCCTGCCTTCTACACCCTAAACCCTAAACCCGAAATCCTAATGTTGGGCCTGCCTTCTAAACCCTAAACCTTAAACCCGAAATCCTAATGTTGGGCCTGCCTTCTAAACCCTAAACCCTACCTTAAGAACCCGAAATCCACTTTTTTGTAGGTTCTTATTATAAACCCTAATATGGGATTTATAGGGACTCTACAAAAAAGTAGGTTTGGGGTTCTTAAGGTAAGCCCTAAACCCGAAATCCTAATGTTGGGCCTGCCTTCGAGCACAGGTCCTGGTCCTTCTCCTCATCGTCGCCAACGCTGTGACCCGGAGTCGACAGACGTAGGCTTACCTTTTTGGGCTTTAGGGTTTAGAGGTTTAGGGTTTAGGGTTTAGGGGTTTAGGGTTTAGGGGTTTAGGGGTTTAGGGTTTAGGGGGTTCGGGTTTAGGGTTGTGGTACAAGTTCCTAGTAATCATAAACTTTCATATAACCTCCACTTTTGAATGGTAGTAATCATAGGACTTCATCTAACCCCGCTGTCAATCATGTACTCTCCTAACTGTTAGCCGAATTAAATTGCTTCTCCCAAACCCACATACTCGTAAGCCCTAAACCCAAACTCCCTGTATGTTATCAAGTACTTAGGGCCCTGAGGGCACAGCTCGAAACTGCGGGTTTAGGGTTGAGGGCTCAGGGTCTAAATTAACCCTAAGCCCGAAAACCGTACTTCCGAGACTCTAAGCCTCAGGGTCCAAGTTGTAGGGTTTAGGGTTTTAGGGATTTGGGTTTCGGGTTTAGGGTTTAGGGCTTAGGGATTCTATGACTCACAAGTACCTAATAATCATCTACTCTTCTGAATACTAACCTACAAAACGTACTGTCGGTAACCCATGTACATGATTATCAGGTCCTTTGGACCCTTATATTGTATAAGCCGTATAGGTCCGAGGCATCCTTAAAGGAACCATAAAGGAACCCTAAAGTAAGGAACCTTAAGGGAACCGTAGAGGAGCCTTAAAGGGACTTTATAAAGGAACCTTAAAGGATCCGTAAACGAACCTTAAAGGATCCCTTTATAAGGTAGGTTCCTAAATAATTTGGGGTATATTATGCTATAATTATAGTAAGGAATCCCCCAACTAGTATCAGTCATTATTTAGGCCCCCATATTAAGTGAATTCCGGGCCCTGGATCCATAAATCCTAAACCCTAAACCCTAAACCCTAAGCCCTAAGCCCTAAACCCTAAACCCTAAACCCTAAACCCTATACCCTAAACCCTATAAATCCGAGGTCCTCTTGGGCGTGGAAATCGACGTGGCCTCCACGCTGCCGGAATCCGAGATCCCCTCCTGGCTGCTGGGCTCAAAGCGGCTCAGGGTTTAGGGGTTTAGGGCTTTAGGGTTTCGGGGTTTAAAGTTTTAGGGTTCAGGGTTTAGGGTTTAGGGGTTTAGGGTTTAGGGGTTTAGGGTTTATAGGGGTTTAGGGTTTGTATAAAAGGTTAGAAGTAAAAGGTTAGAAGTATGGGCCCCTAATATGGACCCTTAGGCCTTTCGACCCTTGATTATAAAGGTACATATAGGGTATATAGCAGGTATATAAGGATCGCAGGGTTAAGGGCCCATACTAGGGGCCAATGGGTTCAACCTTAGATTAGAGGGGTCGAGGGTGCAGGATTCAGGGTTTAGGGTGTCAGGGCTTTGGGTTTAGGGTTTAGGGTTTCGGGTTTAGAGTGTTGGGGTTCAGGGTTTTTTGTTTCAGGATTTGGTGTCCGAACCTGGCTTCGTGGCTTTCGCCCCGAGGCTCCACGCGGTTTACGGCGTTCAGGGTTCAGGCCCTAGGGTGACCATGAAGCCCTAAACTGTCCTAAATATCCTCAAATGCTTGCCCTGAGGGTCCAGATGATCCAATGAGTTGGTACTTGGCTTGAGAGCCTGAGTCTCATGTTTCTGGCAGGTAATGTAGTATTGCTCCGAACATACTTGACGATGTGAAACTAATTAAGGATAGGGATGTGTCTAGAATGTGTCTGGGTTGAGAATGTGGAGAGCCTCGATACCGAATGCTAGGTACTCGCATTGCTGAACACCTGCGACCCGATCTAGCCTCAAGTACCCTTCCGAAAGCTAGACTGACTAACACCTGTTTCTGTTGTACTTCCAGCGCTATCTTCGGGTTCCATGTTCGGCCTAGAAAGGGAAGCACCTGTGCTCAAACGATGTCTTAGATAAAACCCTAAACCCTAAATGAAGCAATCACCACAGGTACGGCGTGGTCAACACCTTGATCGTCGCCTTCTTCGTGCTGGATCCTTTTCCGGCTCCGGTTGTTTCAGATTCGGGGTGAAGATCCTGCTTAGGCCGGTTTAGGGTTTAGGGTTTAGGGGCTTTGGGTCTATCTTTACCGGGTTTACTATGGTTCACCCCTGCTCCCCTAAGCTACAGAACCCGAAAGCATAAACTAAACCCTTTAAGCCCCTCGCCCTAATTCCCAAACCCCTAACCCCTCAGCTCCTCAGTCCATAAAACACCATCGGGGCGTTGGGCGCTAAGTCCAAGTACACCCCCAACCGGAAGCCCCCTAAAGCCGAACCCCCTAATGCGAAAGACCTACGCCCTAAACCCCGAAACACTGAAGCCCCTACCCATAGGCCCCATAGTGCCATAGTACTCGTAGTGGGAGGGAGGATGGGGTTAGTCTACGCTGAGGTTCCAAAGGAACCCAAAGTTAAGGGTTCTGGTAAGGGTTCTATCATGGGTTTGTAGGGCTTTAAGGGGGTCCAAAGGACACACTGGTAAGGTACTGGCGTTTAGGATACTGATTATGTAGGTTAATATTGGGGAGAGTAGGTTCCTGAGTAGGTGATTATTCGATACTTGAACTCTTAGGGCTAGGTCTAGGAGCGTGGAAGCTTGGCACCCTGTGCCAAAAACCCTGCACTCAAAATACTGACCCTAAACCCTAAACCCTAAACCCTAAACCCTAAACACTGCAAGGGTTCAGGGTTTTGGGGTTTGAAACTTTGGGTCTGAGGGTTTGGGTTTTGGGTTTAGGGTTTAGGGTTTAAGGTTTAGGGTTTAGGGTTTAGGGTTTAGGGTTTAGGTTTTGGGTTACAGTGGTGTCGAGTTTGAAGGTTTTGTATATGGGTAGTTTTCTCAATTAGGGTCCTCTTCAGGGTCATTATTATAAGGGTGCCGTACGAAATTGTGGACCTAAAATTCAAAAGGGACCCGATTTTAGACAACTACCCATATAGGTCTTAGTCTTCGCGTTGCATCGCCGTTAAACTCCGTTGAAGTTTGGGGGGTTTCGAGCTTAGGGTCTACCCATAGGCCCCATTGTAGTTCCTTTTTGGGGTTGGGTTTAGGGTTTAGGGTTTAGGGTTTAGGGTTAAGGGTTTAGGTTTAGGGGTTTAGGGTTTAGGGTTCATATTTAGAATCCTATAAGGTAATCCCCAAAAGGAACTACTATGGGGCCTATGGGTACATGGTAAGTAAAAATCAGTGGGGCTTGGACTTGGTTGAGAAGATCCCTCAAAGGCATCATAGCAAAGCAGGTCACCTACAACCTCGCATGTGCATACAGATACAGAGTCCTTGCAAGATTCAAGATTGAAAACTAGAACAATAAAGGTACGAAGAAGATGAAATACATTACTCCCGAAAGCGTATCCCCGAAGCCTAAACTACAAAACCCACAACTCTAAGTTGAAATCTTACAGAATACTCTGAACCCTAAAGCCGCAAACCCTCATAAACCCTGCACCTTAACCTTGTGGATCCCTGATAGAGACCCGGACAAGAACCATAAACCCTAAGCATCCCGAAACCCTTAACCATAAACCGCAGGACTCTAAACCAAATGACGGCAAACGTGAACATGTAGAGTTCCCTCCGGCAAAAGAGCCTAAGCGCTGGAGTGAAAAATGGGGTTGGGGTTTGTTTTTGTTTGGCGTTTCTGTGGTTTCGGTGTTTGGGGTTTAGGTTTTAGTTAGCGGGTTCTACAGGATTCCTCGGCTTGTTATTTCGGTCTCAGGAGTCTAAATTTCTTGGGGTTTTATAAGTTAAGGGGCCGCTTTGGGGTTGTCAAGGTTTTGGGGCTTAGGAAATAGCCCATGTGAGGAGATCGCAATGAAGTTCTTTGCCTACGGCTGCAGCGGCTTCTGGCGTGGTCCCAGCTCCGGGTGGATCCTTGGCACCGTGCGTTTTGCGGGGTTCGTTTCATTCCCCCGCCTGGTTGTAGGTTTTTCCGTTTTGGGATTTTGCGCCATGCTAGTGTTGCTACTGCGGGCACAACAAGCGCGGCATCATGTGCTGTCGCTTTTCTGCTACTGGCCACCGAGGAACATTTTTGATTTCGTGATCGTCGCCCTATCTGCTGTGGAGACGGCGTTGGACCTCTTTGCCAAGACCATTGCTTCTGAGATGTTTGGCTCCGACGCTCTATCGGTGGTGCGCACACTACGACTCGCCCGAGCACTGCGAGGATTCCGAGCTTTCCGGCTTGTCCGACACTTCAGTGCACTGAGGGCTTTGATCCTTTCGATTGTGAGCACGATCAGCTCTCTTATGTGGACCTTGGTCTTACTGGTCATCCTCTTCTACTCCTTCGGGGTCATCTTGATGCAGCTAGTGACCGATTACTGTCGCTATCTGGCTATTGAGACCGTCGGTGATGTCAATGCGATACCCGATTGCCCAGCTGAGCTCAGCCGCAGCTGGACTTGCAAGGGCTTAAGGGGTTTAGGGTTCAGTGTTTCCGGGGTTAGGCCCCATAGTAGTTCCTTTTTGGGATTCCTTAATAGAATCCTAAATATAAGCCACAAAAAGGAACTACGAGTACTATGGCACTATGGGGCCTATGGGTAGGGGCTTCAGTGTTTAGGGGTTTAGGGCGTAGGTCTTTCGGATTCGGGGGTTCGGCTTTAGGGGGCTTCCGGTTGGGGGTGTACTTGGAGGCCCAGGGGACTTAGTAAGTCGGTTTTAAGTAGGGTTATAGTTGGGGTAACTCCATTTAGGGTACATATCAGTCTACTTATAACCTACTTGCTAAGTCCCCTGGGCCTCCAAGTAGACCCTAAACCCTAAACCCTAAACCCTAAGCCCTAAAACCCTACTTACTAAGTCCCCTGGGCCCCCAAGTATGGGGGCTTTGCGTATAGGAGTTCCAGGACCCGGGCTTCCGAAGCCGATTGGGTCTGAGAGTAGCGTGCATGAACTGGAGGAGTGTTCTGGTCACCTAGGGTTGAGGCTTCAGGGCTTAGCCCTAAACCCTGAACCCTGAACCCTGAACCCTGAACCCTAAACCCTAAACCCTAAACCCTGAACCCTAAACCCTAAACCCTAAACCCTAAACCCCTAGCCCTAAGCCTAGGGTTTTAAGGGTTTAGGGTTTAGGGTCCAGGGCTTCGGGTCTCGGGTCGAGGGTTATGGGGGCAGGGTTTATATCGAAGAGCCTAGCGTTTTGAGGTTCCTTATGATGACTTCCTTACATATGGATCCTTAAAACGGTAGGTTTTTTTGGGTCTAGGTTAGGTAGGGTTTACAGGGTTTCGGGTTCGTTTATACGAGCTTTGCGCTTAGAATACGTCTAAAGCCATTCACCAAAGCGCCTTCCCTAAACCCTGAACCCTCTTCAAAGAGACACTGTTCTGCCCGACATCCCGGTTCCCTCGATCGTGGTTGCTTTGCCGTGACTGGTTTGGGCGCCAAGACCGGAACCTACGCTTTAGGTTTTAGGATTTAGGGTGTTCAGGAGCCAAACATAAGCTGTTGGGTGTGACATTCTTGTTTTGTGGTCTTCTGAAAGAGAGGATGGTGGGAAGTACCAACCTCGTAGGGTACGTCACCTAGACTCTTGCAGAGGTCCGATATGCCTTGGTCGACAAATACGGCTTACTGTAGACCAAGGGGGGGATCCACAAGATTTTGGTTTAGGGCTCTTTGGTTCAGGAAAGAGGGTTCACCCTTCCAGCACCCCTCCAAGACCTTAAACCCAAAGCCCTGAACCCTAAACCCTAGACCCTAGATCCTAAACCCTAAGACCTAAGACCCTACGACCCTAAACCCTAGACCCTAAACCCTAAGCCCTAAACCCTTTTGTGAGCCTTTCGGGACCTTCGGGCTTCGGAAAAAGGAGTTCACAAAAAAAAACCTAAGACCCTAAGACCTAAGACCTTTCCAGGTTTCTGGTCCAGCATCCGCCAGAGCATGCTGACGCTCTTCTTCTCGATCACCAGTGGCATCTCTTGGTCGGAGGCCGCCCTTCAGGGTTTGGGGTTTAAGGTTTAGGGTTTAGGATATAGGACCAATATAGGATATAGGGTATAGATATAGGGTTTAGGGTTTAGGGCTCAGGGTTTAGGGCTCAGGGTTTAGGGTTTAGGGTTTAGGGCTCAGGGTTTAGGGCTCAGGGTTTAGGATATAGGGTATAGGTATAGGGTTTAGGGTTTGGGGTTTAGGGCTTAGGGTTTAGGATATAGGGTATAGGTATAGGGTTTAGGGTTTGGGGTTTAGGGCTTTGGGTTTCGGGCTCAGGGTTTAGGGTGTAGGGTTTAGGGGTTAGGGTATAGGGTATAGGGTTTAGGGCTTTGGGTTTAGGGTTTAGGCGGAGGCCGTCTTTGAAAGCTCGAGCGTCCCTTTAAGGGTTCAGGGTTTAGGGACCCTATCCGGGTTTCCTTAAGGGGGTTCCTTTGAGGGATTCCTTTTTGGAGTCCCTTAACGGGATCTTTGAGGGTCCCTTTAAGGGTTCCTCTAAGGGCCCCCGCAAGGGCTTCTTTTAGGGGTTCCTTTAAGGGATCCCTTTGAGGGGTCCCTTACAGGGGTCTCTTAAAAGGATCTTTAATAAGGGTCCCTTCTAAGTGTTCCTTTCAGGGTTCCTGTACAGGTTCCTACAAGGGATCTATGGGGCTCTGATCATCAGGATTTGGGTCTAGGGTTTCGGGGTTTAAGGTTTAGGTTTTTATGGTTTAGGGGTTAGGGCTTGGGGGCTTTAGGGCTTCAGGGCTTCACGGTTTTGGGGTTTGGGGTGGGGGTATGGGGTTTACGGTTTCGGGTTTAGGGCTGATAGGGCCATCTTGATGGGTTCCTTTCATGGTTGGGGTGGCGGGTTCGACTCTTTGTGGTCTGAGGGCCTTGATGGGTTTCCTCTAAATCTAAGGTTGAACCCGTGGGCCCCTACCATGGGCCCTTAGGGGATTCTAGGGTCCCTTAAGGGTATATATATATATAGAGAGAGAGAGGGTATATAGTAGGTATATTAGGGTTCCAGGGTTAAGGGCCCATACTACGGGCCCATGGGTTCTACCTTAGACTA